CCCCAAAACCCCAAAACCCCAAAACCCCAAAACCCCTTAGGTTGTAATTAACTACTATTAATAGCATTTAATTGTAATCTGAAATTCTAGAATATAATTGGGAGGCAGTAATTAGTCGGATCATAATAGGCTCAACTTTGATAAATTTATAATCAATTTATAAATAGAATGAAATATAACAAAACACTTATCCTTGCACTATCACTTGCAATAATTTTCACTCTTGCTCAAGCTGGACCCTAAAAGTAAGGCAAAGGTAAAGGTGAATAGAAAAACAATACAGCTGTTGAATCACACAATCATACTTCAAATGAAAATAGAACCCTCGCAAACTGCACTAATGGAACCTTAAATGAAACTCACGCACATAACAAGCCCAACTCAACACTAAACCATACTCATAAAGATACTGACAAACCAAAGCCATAGTAAAATGGTAAGAGAAAGCTTGATGATGACAAAATGCTTCTAAGATAACTCAAAGGAGGAGATAAAGCCTAAAAGAATGGAGGCTCTAAAGAGGCAAAGCACACTCGTAACGAAACTGATTCTAACCATACTCATAATGAGACTGATTCCAACCATACTCACAACCATACAGATGGTAATCATACTCACAATGAGACTGATTCAAACCATACTCATAACCACACCGAGGGTAAACATGGCAAAAATGGAACCAATAAAACTCATGAGAAGTCAGGTGAAAAACCCAAAGGAAGTCAACCTAAAGGTGCTAAAGGTGGTAGAAAGCTAGAGGCTCAAAATTCATTCATTGATGAGTTAGTCTTCTTGGAGGAACCTATTGCTGAGGCAATAGTATTAAATAGCCAAGAAAATATCAAAGAAGGAATTGTTAGCTCCTAATTAAGATTACTTTTAGGAGGTTAAAGATTAACTCATGAGTTCAATCAAAATCAATGACATATCACTGATACTTCTAAGTATGAAGAATGCTTCGAATGAGCATTATATGAGAGAATGGCTCTCTTATGTAAATATATAGAACATTAATATCTTTTTTAATTTTCATTAATCAATCAAGCCTATCCTTGTCCATTAATTTTTCAATTTATTCTTCAGTACGGGGTTTTGGGGTTTTGGGGTTTTGGGG